TCGAATTAGTTCGATAGATTTGCGTCATCAAAGTCCAGCACTTCACTCGTCCAAAAAGTCCTAAACCTATTACACTTTGATCAATTCAGTCATAAATTTTGCAATTTTTTCAATTTAGTCATAAACATTTTCACGTTTTTCCAATTGAGTCCATTCGGCTAATTTTAACTGGAAATTGCTGACGTGGACGCTGATAGTGCCACATAAGACGACCGGCGCTGACGTGGATAATTTTTTTTATAATTTTTTAAAACAAAATTGAATTTATTATTCTTTTCTTTTCTTTTTTCTTTTTTCTTTCTTTTTTTTCAACCAAGTCGGCCGACCTTCGTCGGCCATCGTCGGTAGGCCCTCACTTGTGACCGGCGAGGGTTGGCCGGCAACCCTCGACGGGCTTGGAAAGAAAAAAAAAAGGGAAAAGCAAGAAATAAAAAAGAAGATAAAATAATAATAAAAAATTCAGAAATTTTTTTTTAAAAATTCTAAAAATTATATACGTCAGCGCCGGCCATGCCACGTAAGATGGCCGACATCCACATCAGTGATTTTCAGCTCAAATTAACCGAATTGATTCAATTGGCAAAAATGTGGGAATGTTTAGGACTCGATTGGCAAAATTGAAATGTTCGAGATTGAATCGGCCAAAATACAATAAGTTTAGGACTTTTTGGACACTTAGCCCCTCCACGTCGCGATCGTGCGAAAGAACTTAGGGTGATGACTCATGGTCAATTTGTCAACACGAGCACACAATGCTAGGGGATTCCGACGTATGAGCGAGCGTGCATGCATGGGGGCCTCTCCTAATTCCTAACGAAACCGACGCCACAAGTCTAACATCGCAAGTATCCATCTATCTACCTACACACGTTGACCAAATTCTCTTACGTCTCCTTTCATTTTTATTTATTTAGTTTTTTTTATTGATGTAATCACGAACGTCGTGAGGCGCCGCCACGTGGGCCGGCCAGTTTTTGCCACTAATATCGACGGGGACCATATCGAATATAATAGCATCCATAACCAGCTTTCTTATATTCTTTTTTCTTTTGGTTGGAGAATATTAATCTTTTGGAGTTTCTAAGCAAATGGGTCGGCAAGAGAAATTCTTGCTTGCTTTTTCTTTTTTCTTTTTTTGTGGAATTTTTATGGAAAAATTTGCAATTTTCTTGATTGTGTTTCCGAGTCGATTTGGTAATATTCCGCGAGCTCGAGAGTTTTCTTCTTTTAGGGATGGATTTGCATTCATCACTAAGGGTGCATTCGTTTCGTGGAAAATAAGTGATTTAAAATATTTTCCAAAAAATAATTGCTTATTATCGCTTACAAAAATAAATGAATGGAAAAAATTTTCATCGCCCATAGAAATAGTTAGCCATAGATTGTTATCGATGATGGAAATATTTTCCGTTGAATAATTTTTTTAAATGATATAAGCAATCATTTTTCAGAAAATATTTTCCAAATCAATCATTTTCCACGAAATGAACGCACCAAACAAAAGGTTTTATTTCCATAAGAATTCATCAGTTATTATGTGTTGACAAAGAAAATGCACAAGGCTTAAATTAATAGGTAGAGGGAGATGTGCTAAATCAAGTAATAACACCGTGTGGAATTTGACAAATGGGGGGCCGAGCATGCGAAATAAACTGGGTGTAGAGCCCAACTCTGATACCACCTTAGAATATCTAACCCAAAAACTTAAACTAATCGGTGGAAGGATATCACATGTGTATAGACAAGTGATGTGGAATATTTTAACAATACTATATATATAAATTCTAGCCAAACCACCGATTTATTAAATGTCGATAAAATATATTATAATTCTGCGAAAATTCAACGTTTTCTGAAAATTAAAATAATCATAATTATGTCAGTGTGTTTGGTGGGAACAAGATCAGCAGTCTATTGGGCCCATGCATCGGCCATGCAAAAAGAAAAGTAATGTGAACTAGATTCAGAAATTCACCTAAAATGAATCGATGCCTTTAGATGATGCCTGCATAAAAAGGTGGAATAAACAAATGCAAAGCGGAAAGCAAAGCAAAGCAAAGCAAAGAAAGGAAAAGAAAAACGTGGAATTGCTTTAAAGATCATATAAGAGGCCTGGACGCGGACATTGCAGAACGGTCCTTTAACATATTGGCTTAAGTGACTTGCATTCATTAGCTACACCTATACATATAAAATTATAAATATAAGGCTCCATCTGTTTTGCGGAAAATGAATGATTTAGAAATAATTTTCTTCAAAATGGTCGCTTGTATCACTTATAAATATAATTGAACGAAAAATATTTTCATCGTTTACGAATATGTTTAGACATAAGTTATTGTTGATAATGAAAAAATATTTTTCACTGACTAATCATTTCGAACGATCATTTTTAAGAAAATATTTTTCAAATCGCTCATTTTTCCATGAAATAAATGGAGCCTTGGAAATTATATACGTTCTATCAATGCAATATGTGATATTACGGGTAATTTCGAAGCGAAAAATAAAATGATTTGGTGGCGGGAAAAAAAGAAAACAAGAACGTGTAAAAAGAACCACACGTACAAGAAAGATATTCTGGCGACGGGTACAGGTCAGAAATGGGCCGCGCGATTTGTGGTCCGTCGCTCTCAAAAAAATAGACACAAAAAATCGGATTCTTGTTTCCTATATGTGTTCATCGTTTTTAATGTTTTTGTTCGAGTATTACATGAAGAGTTTAATTAAGAGAATTTTACATCTAGATATGAACTAAACCACATATCCCGGTACCTTCGCTTAACTCTAATATGAGCCCGTCAACATATCAAATTGACCTACATTCATTTAAAAGCTCAAGCCAATGCGTTAGGTATCAATCGGGATTATTAATTGTTCTACACCACATCGATTCTCCTATATGAGACTTTTCTGACACAACTTATGCCCGCATCCCAACACACACAAACAGTCGTTCAACATAAAATTGTGCATACATCACACACACACACACACACACACACACACATACAAGGAGAATGACACAAATGACACAATGTGTAATATAATCCCCGAACTTTTAATTTGTTCAATGTGATCCCTGAATTTTTTGTAAATGTTCAAATCAATCTACCGACTATATGAAAATATTTAATATTGTTCTTGAACTTAAATTAATGGAAAGACAAAATTGATTATTTTTATATAGTCCAATGATTAGTTTGAATATGTACCAAATGTTCAGAGACCACATTGCATGTCTTGTCAAAGTTTTATGACCATTTATGTCATTTTTCATATATATATATATATATATGTGTGTGTGTGTATGTATGCGCGCAAAAATTACTATTATCTATTTATTTGTCTTGCATTTGCAGTGGACGCCAGAAGAGCAAATGGGGTTCTTCGTCCTTTGGGAAGGACTCGAGGGGCCAAACGAGGACATGGAGGGCAAAGACAACTGTCCCACAACACGAACAAAAATATCTTCTTCCCACAATTCGATGAAAAGTTTCAAATAAAACACTACGAAACGAAATGACACACATGACCCGACAATTTAACTCCCTCCACATGAACATATAACTCCACACCATATAGATAAAAATCCCCGTACAAGGTTTCGCTAATGAGCATCTTACCCTACATTTCTTTGAGTAAATGAATCGAAAATGTTTACGGTGAATGCTCGGTTCGCCGCGCAACTTTCACATCTCACATCCATCATCGAAGATCGGTTACCTACCCGTTACGAACAGAATTGCCCGCGTTGATCGTGATAGACGTGCGATGCGTAGAGGAAAGGATTGCGCTGGTCGCACATTCAACATCGACACCGAACGCCTAAGAGAAAAGCTACCCTTTTGAAATCAGTGACGAAGTACAATAACGATGGAATTGCTTGATTGACTTGTCTTATTAGGGTTCCGATCTCTAGCCTCGCATAAAAAGAATGCTGTTTCGAACATAAATGATTATACAAAAAAAGTTAAGCTGGTTTAAACTGGATCTCTTCGATGTCTATGTTTGTGTTGAATATTTTCAATTTGGACATCCCTCCTTCTTGTTCGGTCGTGTTCTGCATTAAAGACACTTGAAGATAGGCCTAATTCCCTAAAAAAACTCCCAACTTTGGATCAAGTCCCAAATCTACTATGAGCTTTTTTTTGTCTAAGAAAAAACACCAAACTTTAGGTTTAGTCCCAAATCTGCCCCGAATTTTTTTTGTCTCAGAAAAATCCTAAACTTTAAGTCCAGTTCCAAATTTACCCCGAATTTTGTTTTGTGCAAAAAAAATCACAAAAATTCAATTTATTTTCAAAAATATACTCCGATGATCCAGTCTCAACTTTACATGGCACTTCCACGTCGATAACAAATCCACATCAACAAAGTAATGGAATTTTTTTTAGCAAAAAAAAAGTTCGGAGCAAATTTGGACTGAACCTAAAAATTAGGTTTTTTTTAAATTAAAAAAAGTTTTTTGGGGTGGATTTATTATCATCCCTAACTTTCATATTCTAGAATTGTTTTATTTTGGAGAATTTCAATAATTTTTATTTGGTTTGATTTGTTATCGAAATGGAAATATGACATCGGTTTGTACCTATTGCCCCATTACTTTGCTGATGTGGATTTGTTATGACGTGGAAGTGTCATGTCAAGTTGGAACTGGATCACGGGGATATGTTTTTGAAAATAAATTGAAATTTTGCTGATTTTTTTTACATAAAATAAAGTTCGGAGTAGATTTCGGATTAAACCTAAAGTTTAGGAATTTTTTTAAGATGAAAAAAAAATTTAAAGTAGATTTAAAACTTGACCTAAAGTTTGGAATTTCGTGGGGAATTCACCTCTCGGAGATATGGAAATTTCTTTTCCGGGAGCCAAAAAGCAGAAGGAGAAAGAAAAGTATAATCGGGCAGAGAGAGGCGGATACGACACACAAATCTCACTAGCGGCTAAAACGAAAGATCCGACCCGTCATTAAAGCCTAACCGCTCCGATTCAAAGAAACCGCGTCTTCCTTTTCCCTTGCTCTGTTTTTTCCTCTCCTTTGTTCCTCTCCGCTCTGCTTCCCCCCACCCCTCCATTCACGAGACTGCATAAATACTCATCCTCCCCTGTTTCACCCCACCCACATCTCTCCCTCTCTCTGTCTCTCTCCGGAAGCCATGGCTGTCCGCAGAAGCTCCGTCGTCGTCACCCTACCCTTCTTCTTGTTCTGCTGCTTCTGCTCTGTTTCCCTCTCGAAGCAAGAACAGAGCCACCATAACCAGAACAAGTCGTCGTCGTTCTCTCTCTCTTTCCCTCTCCAATCCCACCCTCTCCCCCACCACAAGCTCCATTCTCTCCGCCCATCTCTCGCCTCCGCCGCCGTGGCCGTCAAGTCTCCGTTCAAGTTCTCCATGGTCCCGGTCGTGTCCATCCCCATCGGGACTCCCCCGCAGACCCAGGACATGATCCTCGACACCGGGAGCCAGCTCTCCTGGATCCAGTGCCACGGCAAGGGCAAGAAGGCGGCGGCGGGGGGGGCGGCTGGGCAGCCGCCGTCGCCGTCGACGGCGACGTTCGACCCGTCCCTGTCCTCCTCCTTCTCGGTCCTCCCCTGCAACCACCCGCTCTGCAAGCCGCGCACCCCCGACTTCACCCTCCCGACGTCGTGCGACCAGAACCGGCTCTGCCACTACTCCTACTTCTACGCCGACGGCACCCTCGCCGAGGGCAACCTCGTCCGCGAGAAGTTCACCTTCTCGACCACCCAGACCACCCCTCCCCTCATCCTCGGCTGCGCCACCAGCTCCGGCGACGACAAGGGCATTCTGGGGATGAACCTCGGCCGCCTCTCGTTCCCCTCGCAGGCCAAGGTGTCCAAGTTCTCGTACTGCGTGCCCGCCCGCGCCTCCCGATTCGGGCCGTCCCCGACCGGGTCGCTGTACCTCGGCGACAACCCGAACTCCGGGGCGTTCCAGTACATCGGCCTCATGACCTTCGGCCAAAGCCAACGGATGCCGAACCTGGACCCGCTCGCCTACACGGTGGCAATGCAGGGGATCAGGATCGGGACCCGGCGCCTCAGCATACCTCAGACGGCTTTCCGGCCCGACGCGAGCGGGTCGGGCCAGACCATGATCGACTCGGGCTCCGAGTTCACCTACCTGGTGGATGAGGCCTACGATAAGGTGAGTGAGAATATATTTCATGTACGAGCTATACTCGTGTCCTCAATCAAAGTTCACGTTTTCGAAATTCAACATTCATTATTCCATTCACTGCGACGCGTAATCGTCTCAATTTTAACTGACGTAACTGATGCACCGATTCACTTGATTAGGTAAGGGAGGAAGTGGTGAGGCTCGTGGGACCGCGAATGAAGAAGGGGTACGTGTACGGTGGAGTGGCGGACATGTGCTTCGACGGCGATGCCGCCGCGATCGGGCAGTCCATAGGCGACGTGGCCTTCGAGTTCGAGAAGGGGGTGGAGATCGTGGTGGCCAAGGAGAAGGTCCTGGCCGAGGTGGACGGCGGGGTCCACTGCATGGCCGTCGGGAGGTCCAGCATGCTCGGCGCCGCGAGCAACATCATTGGCAACTTCCACCAGCAGGACCTGTGGGTCGAGTTCGACCCGGGCAACCGCCGAGTCGGCTTTGGCAGGGCTGACTGCAGCAGATCATAGGACCCCGGAACCTCAGCCTCGACGGCAACTTTTATGTCACGTGACGTGCCCATTTGGGGTTTATCCACCACATGTCACGTGATATAAGCGATGCCTGAATGAGTTAATCCCTCTGGAGGAAGGCTCGGAGTACATGGAAATTGACATGGTTTGTGCAGCCTAGGAGTAAATAAAGGGAGTGGGGTTTGTGTTGGACAATGATATGGAGGAGGAGATGGATGTCGTGATTAAAGAGGTTTGTCCTACAATCTGCAGATGGAAATTAAGACAACATGGGCCATGCAAATTGGCAAGATTAGTGTTGGTCCCCGCCCTTTTTTTGGGGGTTTTTTGGTGTGTTCTGTAATTGTATGTGTATCTAGAGTGACCTAGAGAGGGCTTGTTACAGCATTATATATATATGTGAATATGACAGTGTACAAGTAAAGTACTAATCTTGAGTGACATTGTTGAGCCTTTGTTGAGACACGAGCAATCCTTTGTTTTAATTCCACGGACAGGGGCCTTGACGATGTCATTTTGCGAGACGACTAGACAATGGGTCCTCGCTATCTCCCAAGCTCATATTCCAATTTTTATCATGAGATAATTACATTGATGGTTCTTGAACTTCGGTCGAATCTGTAACATGATTTCTGAATTTTTAATTTATCCAATGTGATCTTTAAACTTTTAATTTGTTTAATTTTTTTTTTTGATGACCCAGGGAACCCCCGCACGGCCGACAACCGGGAGGTAAACCCTGGGGGCGACACGTGCTAGCCACCACACACGTGCACCGGTTAAGTTTTAATTTGTTTAATATGAATATGGTCTCTAAACTTTTGAAAAATGTTCAATCTAATCTCTAGATTATATTAAAATATTCAATAATATTCCTAAACTTGAATAAATTAAAAAATAACATTAAATATTTTCATATAAATTAATAAATAAATTAAATATATATTTAAAATTTAAAATTTATGAATCACGTCATATATTAAATTAAAATTCATCGATCATATTAAAAATTACATTATACATATTACCAACGAGAACCCTTTGATTGATTGATGGGCATGTTTAGAATGGTAAAACTGCGAGAAGAACACGCGTCAACGGATGATTTTTGCTTTCTTGTACAGCTTGCGTTGACAGAGTCAAGGTGTGCAGAGTGATGAAAACGACGCTTCATTGTCTTCAAAGAAGAGAACAGAGATGACTGATCTCGGCAATATCCTTTAATTTAAAGCCAAGCAGAACCTTCGGAATAAGCTTTGGTCCAATCGGGTAGAAATTTCTCCTGAAATCTCGATCGCTCTTTGAATAGGGATTATGAACATGCCCTTACCTAGGTCTTACCGTTCGATTGATAGTTCTAAAGTCGAAGTCGTTGTGTTAAGTCGAATTGAAAGGTGCGTTTTGTCGGTGATTAAAAGGAAAGGGCGAGCAATTCGGTCCTACTCTTGAACTTTTAGGCTAATTAAATGAAAAGCCGGGTTTGAATTTTGTGAACACCCTCGATCTTGATCTGGGTTTAAAGGAAGGAAGGAAGCGAATATAAGCGGGAGCTTCATCAACATGCGTGTCTATACTATATGGTGTTCGAACATTGCTTAGCATAGAGTATAATTCGGTCGTGCTTCAGAAGGTTTTGAGTTCGATACTCCCACCTGGCTGGTGCATGTTAAGCAAATGTGACATCTTATTTCGAAAGGTTAAGCCCCGTTTGTTTACTCTTAAGTAAAAATAAAACGCCCTCTATTTTACATTCCCATCGAAAATTAAAGTATTATTTAAACTTTAACAAACTATGGAACAGTTGAGTGCGAGTCTACATGTTAATGTTTGAGTGTTTTTGAAAGTTTGAGGAGCTTCGAACTTAAAAAAGAAGAAGAAGAAGAAGTCAAGTGTATGAGGTGTAAAATTTAGATTAAGTGAAAAATAATGAGCCAAAGTCAATCCAGATTTTTTTTTTTAAAGAGACGCTTGCAATTAATGGACAGTGCATATAATGGCAACGAAAATGGACCTAAGCAGCTCATTAAAAGGCTCAAAGGGAGACTGGGGAAGAAACCCCCGGTAGGGTGGAGATATCTCCGTATAAGTTCTCTTCGTCTCTAGGGAAGAAAAACAACTAAAGGGAACTTAGAGGCCTATGGGTGGAGAAGATAGACTCCACTTAAGCTTCGGAACAATTATTTAAACTTCAACAAATTATGGAACAATTGAGTGTAAGTCTACATGTTAATATTTGAGTGTTTTTGAAAGTTTGAGGAGCTTCGAACTTAAAAAAAAAAAAACGTCAAGTGTCTCAGGTGTGAGATTTAGATTAATTGAAAACTAATAAGCAAAATTCAATCCATATTTTTTTGGAAAAATGCCACCAAAAACCCTAAACTATGTCACTTGTGACAGATTTACTATGAACTTTTTTTTATAACACGAAAAACCTCAAACTATGCCACTTGTGACAAATTTACCCTAAACTTTTTTTTGTGACACGAAAAACCCCAAACTATGCCACCTGTGACACATTTACCCCACATTACTTTGGCCCATGGGTATTTTCGCCTTTTTCCTTGTTCATTTTTTTTCTTTTCTTCTCTCCGACAGAGGAAGCCGGCGAGGGCAGCCCTCGCCGGCGTCAAGCTCGCCGGATCTGGCGAGGGCGACCCTCGCCGGTGTCGGGCGAGGGTCGCCCTCGCCCGACGCCGACGAGGGCAACCCTCGCCAAATCCGACCCTCACCCGACGCCAGCGAGGGCAGCCTCGCCCGATGCCGACGAGGGTTGCCGTCGCCTGGGCAGGCGACGGCAGCCCTCGCCCAACGCCGGCGAGGGTTGCCCCCGCTTGGGCGAGCGAGGGCAGCCCTCGCTGGCTTCCTCCGCCGGAGAGAAGAAAAGAAAAAAACAGAAAAAGGAAAAAGACGAAAATGCCCATGGGCCAAAGTAATGTGGGGTAAATGTGTCACATGTGGCATAATTTGGGGTTTTTCGTGTTACAAAAAAAAGTTAAGGGTAAATCTGTCACAAGTGGTATAGTTTGGTGTTTTTCGTGTAACAAAAAAAAGTTCAAGGTAAATTTGTCACAAGTGACATAGTTTAGGATTTTTGGTGACATTTTCCCTATTTTTTTTTAAGAGTTGCTTGCAATTAATAGATAGTGCATACAATGGTAACGAAACGAACATGATTGACATACTCTAGTAAATTATCTTTTCTTAAGTTAAATACCAGGAAAAAGATAAAGCACTTTTGAAGTAAATAAAGCGGGAATTAAGCCTTATTAGGAGCATTTAAAGAATAAAATCCAAATGCACTGGGCTGATGAAGGAGAGTGCGCCCTTAAAATTGATCGATAATATGCACTAGTAAGAGTGCAGATATCGCCTAACTTTTAAACCAGAAAAAAGGAGGAGAAATACCAAAAATTTATTGCATATTTAACCCGTGACCACTTCCATATTTTGAAAATACCCCATAGATAGCCGAGCTTTATTTTTTTGGAGACTACTTTGCATCTTCACATCAATTATCCTTGCGTCTCTATTTATGACAATGGCATTTTCATTTCCAAAAGTGCCCATCGCAAATTCTAAATCACGCCTGACCAAAACACTCAAAACCAACTAAAAATCAGATCACCCAATCACTAAGCAAGATGTTAAAACAAATTTGCAAAGAGCGGCAATTCGATCATTCGAACGTAGAACTTTGTTTAGACATATGTGAATGATATGCAAAAACAGAGATATGCAAATGGTCTGCGGATCGAAGACGAGACATGTCTTTTGTATATTCTAAGAATAGAAAAAGATAATTATAAGAAGATGGGAATGCATGGGAATGTCGAGGGGAAACAAGACATGACCTTAACAACTGCCAAAATGGACTGCTCCGCAACCTTTGATAGCGTCCAAAGGGGCAACTACTATCAATTTCAACTTTGGACACCTCAACGGGGCTCTCGCGGAATCCCCCTCATTAAAGTATTTCTTCTTCGGCGGACTTAAATGAGAAAGGGGATAACTACATACGTATATATCGCACACATAGCTTGTAATCGTCTAGTGTTCTCAATATTGTGCCTTGAAGAGAACTCGAACCTCCACGCTCTTTAGCACGAAATCTAGAGTCTTGCGTTGGGTACTTGGATTTCACGTTACTTTACACAGATTTATGGTGAAATCATGTAAGTTATAAATGCGAAGATGGCAGATGTTATGTTACTAAACATGATTTTGAATATCGGTCTTTGTATGTTTTAGGGTATAACTCTCTCTCTCTCTACATAAACAAGCTTTTATACTTAGATTCCATTTGTTTAGCAAAAAATGAATGATCCGAAAAACATTTTAGTCGATGAAAAATGCTTCATTGTCGATAACAATTTATATTTAAATATTTTCGTGGACGATGAAAACTTTTTTCGTTTCATTCAATTTTGTAAGTGATAAAAGTCATTATTTTTAAGAAAATATTTTCCAAATCTAGAAAAATAAATGATTTGAAAAATATTTTCCTGAAAATGATCGCTTGTGTATTGTTTGAAATTATTAATCGATGAAACATATTTCATTATCGATAATGATTTATGTCTAATATTTTCGTGGACGATAAAAACTTTTTTCTTTCGTTTGTTTTTATAAGAGATATAATCGATTGTTTTTAAGAAAATATTTCTCGAATTATTTATATTCTATAAAACATACGCACCCTAAATATAAAACTTGGACATTTGAAGTCGTGTGACAAAGCTCAGAAGTCTGGTATCAATTCATTCAAACCGGCCATATGTCTTACAGGCTGGAACCTGAACTTGGCCGTATGCCCTGTCTTATGATAACTGAGGCTGCGGTCCATTCAAGACTCTGTATAGTCCTCTATGCGACTTCCTGACACTCGCCTTATTAAACACTACGTGCACAAATCGATTTGGTTGCGAATTGAATGGACTCTTACTAAGCAAATCTGACTAATGATGTGTAGCTACTAGTCAACACGTGCATTGTTTTAAATAACTACCTAATAATATTCATCCTTTTAAACACTTGTTAAGGATTTTCGTTGCGACATTCGCATTCAATGACCATTATTTCTTATTAAAAATATTTGACTATTATCTTTTGACAATTAGGACATTTAGATATTAATAAATACCTTCATTTAACAGCTCAAAGTTTTAGAGTAATTGATAATGATCTTACAAAATTTTTCGGGATATCAGAACAGGAGTTCCGACTTCGGATTTTTCTAGACCCTCTTATCTATCTCTCTTATTATATATTTTCACACTCGGTCCTGAACCAAAGTCCAACGTTCGTGCAAAATAGAGGATTGGAGTATCTAAATATTAAAACATGCGTACCCTTTTTCTTTTTCTGTTTTTTACACGAAAGTTACCACGAAAATCTGACTTAAAAGGAGAACCCAAACAAGATCCTAGGTTCCCAGACAGATA